ACGGGGCCTTGGGGGCCCAGGGGTCACTGCCTTCGCCTTCCTGCCGAGGGGCCGTGCGGAGGTCCGAGTTTGCTGGTCTCAGGAGAGGGTTGTGGGCTGCGCGGTGATGTCACCCTCGTTCCCCTCCAGCGAGCCCGCGCCTGGTTGTGGACAGCGGGTCCTGGCGTCCTGCGCTCGGCCTTGTCCTGCTGACTGCCCGCGGCCCGCTCCCCCTGGACGGGGTGGGGGGCAGGGTCCGGCGTGGGTCTGCCTTTTCCGCGTTGACTCTGCATTTGGTTGCACGCTCCCTTTCCCTTCCTCTGGGAAATAAATGAGAATATACTTAAAGAAATAAACATGTTTTTATTGAAGAGAGGAAGGGAGAGGTATAGAAACATCAATGATGGGAGAGAGCCACCGGCTGCCTCCTGCACACACACACGAGGGTGGAGTCCGGGAACCCGGGCATGTGCCCTGACCAGGAATCAACCGTGATCTCGTGGTTCACAGGTGGACGCTCAGCCGCTGAGCCACGCGGACAGGGCAGCACTTGGTATTTTTCAAGGCCTTCTATTTGCATCCGTAAAAACTAGCCTTTGGTTTCAAACGTGCTGTCGTTCCAGAGGTTTTCCTGGACTGGCTCTCAGTCACCCCGCTTACAGATGAGGCCACGAGCCAGTGTAAGCTCCCTCCCTGAGGCGCTCGGCTGCCCGGTGGGAGAGCGGGGGTTTCAGCTGGAATGGGCACGATTCCAGAGTTCTTGTTTCCAGCCGCACCTCACAGGAACCCGGGCTCTTCACTCATCCCTGGGGAGGCTGGGTCTCAGAGAGGAGAGGCCATCTCGGGGGTCATGCCGTGGAGGAGCGGAGCCGGGGAAGAAGGCGGGTTCGGTGGCACCCATCCTGGCACGCAGTGGAGAGGTCGCTGCTCCCGCACCAGGGCTGGCGCTGCCGGTGACCGGACGTTAGTTTCTCGGTCTTCCGTTTCCCAGGTTGTGGCATCAGCTGACGCTGCAGGTGCTTGACTTCGTGCAGGACCCGTGCTTTGCCCACGGGGATGGGCTCATTAAGGTAAGTGTTGCCGTGCTGGTCACATGGCACTAACGCGCTCAGACCCTGAGATGGCGGTGGGCTTTGCAATCACGGTACGCTACGCTGAGCCAGCAGTCGCTGTGTCAGGTACTGTTCACACATTTACTTTTTTTTTTTAAATGTATTTTATTGATTTTTTACAGAGAGGAAAGAGAGGGATAGTTAAAAACATCGAAGAGAGAGAAACATCGATCAGCTGCCTCCTGCACATCTCCTACTGGGGATCTGCCTGCAACCCAGGTACATACCCTTGACCAGAATTGAACCTGGGACCCTTCAGTCCGCAGGCCGACGCTCTATCCACTGAGCCAAACCGGTTTCGGCCACACATTTACTCTTTAGAGCAGCACTGGGAGACGGCCGTGCTGTGACCCGACTCTGTGCCGTAGAAGCAGGGCCAGGAGCATAGGTCACAGCGAATAAGTGAGGCACGTTCTGTCTGCTAAATCCCTGAAGTGCAGTCGCATAGCACGCTCCCGTATCATTGTCAGAACAGGCGTGTGAGCACGTGTCTGCGAGGCTCCGCCCTGACCTCCCGCTCGCTGTCTGTCCTTCAGAAATACTCCCGCGGCACAGGGCAGGGTTTCTCCGGCATGCGGCCCTCGCTCCCCGCCGTCTGGCACATCTGGAGTGTTCTCCGGCTGCCCCTCCCGCACCAAAGTTGCCACCTCTTTGCTCTGCATTCCTTAGAAACTTTGGAACCTCTCCCTCCGTTGTTGTTTTTGTTTTGTTTTAGCATATATATTCTTTTGTGTTGATTTCAGAGAGGAAGGGAGAGGGGAGAGAGAAACATCAGTGATGAGAGGGCATCATCGATAGGCTGCCTCCTGCACACCTCTCACTGGGGATGGAGCCTTCAGCCCGGGCATGTGCCCTTGACGGGACTCAAACTCTGGACCTTTCAGTCCGCAGTCCAATGCTCTATCCACTGAGCCACACCAGCCAGGGGGAGCCTCTCCCTTGGGCTGCTCCACCTGTGTGCTTTGATTTCCCTTGCTCCTGAGTTCTCGGCGACGCCATTTTTTTGTTCACGAGTCTCCACGAGGCCAGGACCCCAGCGGACCCTGGGGAAGCGCCAGGTGCTTGCTGCGTGGCTGGGGATCTGAGATGGGACCTCGTGAGCCTGCAGTCTTCTCATCTGCTAGGGTCCTGGCCTCGCGCTGGTGGCCTGTTGCACTCAGTGCTTTGAGGAGGAAATGGGAATTGGTCTGCAGGAGACCCTTCTAGGGCCGGTGTAAGGCCCAAGCCAGAGACAACCCAGCTGGCTTTGGCGTCCATTGGTGAACGCTTATGTGAACCCCATAACCTAACGCGGTCTCCTGGGAAGCGTGCCCGCCCAGTGCGGTCCGGCTGGGTCTGCAGGTGCCAGGCGTCCTGTGACTTTCTCCATGTCTTGGCCCCACAGCTGTACGAGAACTTCATCAGCGACTTCGAGCACAGGTACAGCTCTGCTTGTTGGCGGGAAGGAGGGCGCCGGTGCCGCGTGCTGACGGCTGTGCTTGTGTTTCAGGGTGAACCCCCTGTCTCTGGTGGAGATCATCCTGCACGTGGTCAGACAGATGACGGGTGAGTGGCCGCTGCTGGCCGGACCGGGTCCGCGTGGCAGCCGCTCCCGTGGCCTCGAGACATACGGAATGGGACTTTGTTGCAATTTGATAGGAAATATCCGGTTCTAATGTTTTTGTCTTATTTTGTGTCCAAACCGGAAGATGACCCCCTGAACAGCGTCTGGCTGGTAGGCCAGTCTGTGACGGGCCCGTTGGCCGTGCCTCTGAGCCGGTTCTGCTTCCTTTTCTAGATCCTAACGTGGCGCTTACTTTTCTGGAGAAGACTCGTGAGAAGGTACGTGCGACGCTGGAGCCAGACCTTCTGAAACACGTGTTTGTGTCTGTGCTCACTGTCCTCAGCACTGGAGACCAGGCTGTGCCCGTGTGAACCACGCAGGGTGCGGGGCCTTGCTGCGGGTCTGCTGCCCGCGCTTCCGAGGTTCCTTGTCTCCGTGTCTGTAGGTGAAGAGCAGCGACGAGGCCGTGATCCTGTGTAAAACAGCCATCGGCGCCCTGAAGCTGAACATCGGGGACCTGCAGGTCACAAAGGTGAGCTGAGCCATCACTCAGGGTTGTCTGTGGTTTAAAAGGTTGTTTAAGCCCTGGCCGGTGCTCAGTGGTTAGAGCGCTGGCCTGCGCACCGAAGGGCCATGGGCTTGAATCCTGGTCAAGGCACCTACTGTGTGCAGGTTCCAGCTCGGCCCCGGTCCGTGAGTGTGGGAGAGACCGCCACTCCCTGTGTGTCTCTCACTTGATCTTCCCTCCTTCTCTCCCTTTCACTTTCTAAAAATCAGTGGAGAAAATATCCTTAGGTGAGGGTTAGCAACAATGATAAAAAAAAAACTACAGGGGGAAATCCTATTTTCTCTCTTTTAACTATTTAAAATAAGTGACAGGAAAGTTGCAAGGATAGCATAAAGCTGCCTGTGCCCTTACCTCAGGTTGTTAACATTCCCCGCTTTGCCCGTCATTCTGTGTGTGGGGTTTGTTCCTCAGAAACCGCTTGAGGGTCAGTTGCTGGTAAGTCGCCGTTACCCACAAGCAGGACCCAGCGTGCTGGCCCCGCAGGGGTCACAGCCTCCGCCCGGCACTGCCTGTGGCCCTGTTGACCAGGGTCCGCCCTCCCGGTCGCACGCTGCTGCCCCACCTCTTCTGCATCATCATGTCGTTTCCTGTCCTGGAGCTTTTTTATTTTTTAATCTATTGATTTTAGAGAGGAAGGGAGAGGGAGAGTCATCGATCAGCTGCCCCCTGCACACTCCCTTCTGGGGGTTGAGCCCACAGCCGGGGCATGTGCCCTGACCGCGATTCGAACTGGCAGCTTCTTGGTGCAGGGGTGGACGCCCCACCGAGCTGCCCTGGCTGGGCTGAAGTTCTGTTTTAACACCAAATGAAAAGCAGTGTGCTGCCTACCTTGTCACCTATCACCTGGCGACACTGAGTTAAAGGAAGGCCACCTCCTCCCTGTGGGCAGGAGACCATCGAGGACGTGGAGGAGATGCTCAGCCACCTGCCTGGGGTGACGTCGGTCCACAGCCGCTTCTACGACCTCTCCAGCAAGTACTACCAGACGGTGGGGAGCCACGCGTCCTACTACAAGGACGCCCTGCGCTTCCTGGGCTGCGTCGACATCAAGGACCTGCCAGGTGGGCCTGCGGACGCCGCGGCAGGAGGGGCTGGAGGCA